AATGCTGGTTGCCCAGCCGGGGCAGGCACAGGTCACTCCAGACGGAAGGGGGCAAGTGGCAGCAGGGCATAGCACCTGCTCCCAGTGCCGTTATGCCCACATCCCACGCCAGCTAGCAAGTGGTGGAAGGGCAGAGCCCCTGCTGCCAGCGTTGATGTGGGCATGTCACTGCTGGAAGAGGGTGCTGTGCCCTCCTGCTGCTTGGAGTGAGCTGTGCCTGCATCGTGCCCCTCTCCCTTGTGCCAGCTGGGCAAGTGGCAGCAGGGCAGAGGCCCTGCAGCTCCCCCCACCGGGGCAGAGCCTGGCACAGCTGGAAGAGCTGTGGGAGAGGCCCCCATGGCTGCCCTGCCCAGCCCCATCCCCCACCCAGTCCAGCCTCCTGGCACTTAAAAAGAAAAAAAGAAAAGAAGAAAAGACCAGCACTCACTGGGTCTGGCAGTGGTGATCGGGGCCTCTGGGGAGAGGTAGGCACAACCAGAGGAGCCGCCTGGCTGTGCCTGCCTCTCCCCAGCTGATCCGAATCTCTCCAAATTATCACCAAATCTTCCAAAGCTGATTTGACTGAATGGATTCAGGACAGTGATCCGAATCTCCGAATCGAATCTCTGTCCTCTGAATCAGCCGACTCCGAATCTGAACTGAATACTTCTCTATTTGCACAGGCCTACTGAACAGCTTCTAAAAAAATATGATAAACAAGCCTTTAAATAAAATATCCAAGCCTTTGCTGGTCTTAAATGTCATCAAGTATACCACTGTACCTGATACACATACAACATATATAAAGAAGCTTTCAAATGGTACAAATTCTAATGTATTCATTTGAATATTGTGTACCGTATGTCTCTGACACACACACGCAGAGTACCATACCTTAAAAACCATGTCAGACTTCCACCTCCCCTTGGATCTCATATCACAGGAGTGATAAAAACTGCCATTATGGATTTGCTCCTGCTGAAGGGCATGTCTCTTTGGACATTTTTAAAGCTTTATAATCTTTGTTTCCCACTAGGGGAAAAAAATCATATTTGAACATTTCTACTTTTCAGTTGTTACAGTTTTTCCTGATGACACGTTTCTAACTGAAACATAGTCTCACTTCCCGCTCTCTCTCAATAGCTAGAGAGGCAAATAAACACATTGCACTACACCTGCTGCACAGCCATACAATTAAATAGTAGCAAACCACAGCTTTTTAAATTTTGCTTCTGACTTAAGGATTTATCCTCTAATCAAGATATTTTCCAAGCTGTGTGAATAGCTCAGCAAAGAATAACATGTAACACATTAGCAAATGTGGTTAAAAAAACAAACAAACCAGAGGGGGAGGCATCAGTCTTGTATATTTTCCAGCATTATGCTACAGGAATTTGCTATGTGATGCAATTGCTACTTACAAGCAAACTGAAGTTTTGCTTCTCGGCTAACGGTTGTTCCAAATGAGTTTGTTGCTATGCACTGGTATGTTCCAGTATCTTGGGTTTTATTGGGGTTATTGATCAACAAGCTGCCTTCCACTATACTGTAGCGGTAATCCATACCAATGTCAACATCGGTTCCATTTAACCTCCACCTATAGCACAAAAATGCCAGGAGTTAAATTCTACTCACATTAATGAATATTTCTGTGTTTTAGAATAGCATCATGTAGTAGATACAGAAAACAACTTGATTTCTTGTTTGTAAACCCAGCCTGAAAATGCATGTTTCCTACCCAATATTGAAATGTTCTAATGTTTTACTTAAAGAATAATATCCTTGACATGCATTTCAGTCAGTGATATGATTAATGTTTGCATTATTGTGGCTGTTGTTATTGATGTTGTTGCTCGTTGGAATTAATCATTTTGCTAGGGGAAGTCCCAGAAACAGAATCTTTAAACACTTCAACTCCACCGTGGCTTCCTTCCCATTTCCCTTTTAGCTGGCTGTTTGTTTTTAAATTTAAGAAAACTCACTCTCAGCAGATGTTTTGACAAACTGGGACACTGAGATTTTTTCTAAGGAAGCCTCTCCCCAATTAAAACAACTGTCATCTGTAGCAGTCTATGATGGAACATATAAGGGAGCTAGATCCTCACATCAGTTCCCTCTGCTGCAGCCTACAGGGTAAAAACTCTGAGTACATTTGCATGAGAAAATCAACCCAGCCTATTCCATTACATACTTGGAAGTATTAAAAGAGAGCAACTGCACTAGGGGGAGGTCTTTAAACTTTAATCCATTTCAAGGTGGCGTTTACACTGGAGAGTAAAACTGAGAAGGAAAGGGGAGATGGTTTAAAGTAGCCGAGTAGGGATTAAAGCAATACTGGCAGCACCATTCTAATGGTGTATTTGCATTTGCATAGCATCTTTTCTCCAAAGCACTTCATAAAGCTGAGTACGACGCACAGCATGATCACAATTTACAAGATGAGGATGGTGAAGCACGAAAAGTTCAGGGGACAGATTTTCAGGTCTGCGGGTACAGGATATTCTGTGCAGTTACCATGACTGTGCACAGAAAGCAATTGCTTGACATCAGACCCGCCTTGTTTGCACACTGCTTCTGTGCCAATGCACATTTGAAAAGCACGATCTCCAGTTAATTAAAGAGCACGCTGCCCTGTGCCCTGCTTTAATCTCTAGAGCACAATGCTTTCACAATGCTTTCTAATGCAAGTAGGCAATAAATTATCTGGAAAATGACAAACTGGTTAGATTTAATTCCTGGCTCAGTTCATGTCTCCCTACCCACAACACAACTGTGTTGGTTAACTTGGGCTTTTGAAAAATCTGCTGCATAACTTAGATGTGACAAATCTTTGCTTCTGACAATACATAGTATTGCTAAGGAAACAGAAATAAATTTGATTTGTCCCACAATAATCTCCAGTGTTCTGCCATAAAGATTTAAATCCTGTATATGTCAGATAATGGGTCAAAGTTCCTTTACCGGTGTATAAATGAGGTTCTACTTCACTGAACATATACGTTTCTCTCATGTTTAATACACACCCCACACCCCAATTTTTGACAGCGGTGCTTTGTGTGGGGAACACACTCTGGGAGGACCTGGGTTGTGTAGAGGGCATCATAAAGAACAATTTAAAAGTGTAACGAACCTGATTGTTGGCTTAGGATTTCCTTTCACTTCACAGTTCAGCTTCACTTTCCTTTCCTCAGAATCCAGTGGAAAAATTACATTATTTGGTTCCTGAATGAAAATTGGTCCGTGCAGCATGTTGTCGTCTGCATTAGAGAATAAAAATATGTAAAATATTGGATAGTATCAAAGTATTTTAAATATGTTTTAAAAAAAGGAAAGCTGAAGTAAGGTTATATCAGACACCCACACTGCAGGGTGAAATTACTCTAGAGCTACTCTTTTCCTTGGGAATAAATCAAATATTTATCCTACAGTCGAGGATCTTTTATATAGAGAGCTCACACACTAAATCAACTGACTGATTCAAACTGAACATGGGTCCGGTCCTACAAATGACTACGAGCAGGCACTCGAGTGCCGTCATCCCACACCACCGTTAAAAGCAATGTATTGTACTTCTTTTTTGGCTTGCAAACAAGCATATTTTAAGTTCCCTGTAAATAAAGAACAAATGCAAGATGCGGGTTCATTGGCATTAATAGAGAAAATGATGAATGGTAATTGGGCACCGTTAACACGCACAATGCACCAAATCCTTTTCGTACTACCAGGGTTTATTGGTATATCAGGATGTCAAAGGTGGCATTTGCCACTGCAGAGTACTGTATGCTTCCTTCCATACAAAGAGCACCTTTCTTTAATTTTTTATTTATACACCTCCGAGCACGCAGTTGCCACTCCATATGGCATTATAGCATTGTATCTGTGGAATCACCTAGGATAAAATTACTGTTACAATTTAAGAATTTTATATTATAGCAACAATAGCAGCATTGTGTACTGGTGCATGGTATAGCCCATACAATCCACATCTGATTTAAACGGCCCTGAAGTGAACCTACACTGGTTGACCCCTGCATTCACATTGATTTTACAGCAAGACAAAACCCTATATTTTTAGCTACTGAAAATGTGAAGTGGAGCTCGTAAGAGATGGGCACAGAACGACGTCAGAGATTTTTTTTTTTGTTCAGGGATATGAACTGAAAATGTGCTAAATGGTGATATTATTCTGACAAAACTTTCTGGAGTAAAAGTAGTGCATTTGCACCCTTTAACATTCTCAAGTAACGGAGAGTTGGGCAGCGTCAATGAGAACCTAGCTGGTATTGTATCTTGTTTTATCTTTTCTGCTTTTGTTTGCACTTTATCTTTTCACGCCCCCTCCCACAACCATTTGCCCTTTCCCATTTTTCTTTTTTACCTTAATTATGCATGGAGCTAATGTTGAGTGTTGCTTACAGGTGGAGATGAAGCTGGCTCATGAAAATAGAAAAAAAAACCCGACTCAAACCTTCAGGCAAACATTAATGATAACTTATGGAGGAGTCTAGAAAGTTCAAGTTAACGTTTCAACAGTTCTATGTTCAGGCTCTTACGCTTATAAAACTAAAGTTAGCAGTAGAAGCAGCAGAATTTAAATGGTGTGAAGGAGACAAAAGTGGGTGGTATTTCTGACCTAAGTGTAACTAGAAAGCACAAAAATAACGCACAAAACTCTTCTCATCAGGTCAATTTTCACACCGAAGCTTGGGAAGTTTTTGGAAATCACAGAAGTTACATGGTTATCTGAACCATTGGAGTGTCCTCATTTTATAACTGAGTGAATCAAAATCTGCCAGCACAGTATTGGGTTCATTGTTATTCACAGTTATTTGTAATGTTTGCTAGAGTTACGTTAGATACTACTGTCAAGAATCTCCATAGGGCCAAATATTTGTGTTCCTCATAGACGTTTTCAAGATGAATAATCAGGCCAATAATTTAAAGCTGTAATCAGGACAAACTCTCACCTATCAATATTAGAATACTTAACTGGTCTTCTTTAAAAATGTGAGTCCTCTCCATATTATGCCACTGACCAAGATGATGTGTGAGTTTCTTAAATTATCGTGGCGCGTACATAAATATCTCGTGTGGTCTAAAGGGATGGTGAAGGCATGCCAGGTTCTTTCACTAATCCAGAGAAGAGCGATAGAGCTGGCATCATGTCCACCACCTGCTTGAACTCCACAGCCTGAATGACCTAGTTCCCATTTACAGCTGGGTTGATGGGGCCAACTTTCAGCAGGAGTCCAGAGTAAGACTCAGGCTTACACTTCTGGATACTTAGCGACATCTACCTTGCCCTTCTTGTGATATCACCAGTTTTCAGTAACACTTTTCATTGTTACTATGAAATCTGTCCCTAGCTTTAATGACTAACAAAGCATAAACTGGTTGTTTGGGAGATGTTGCAAAGCCGTATCAGCCTCCGGTTGAGGTGCTGAGTAGGTCCTGGCATTTAACTCTAATTTTCAGGGCAGATCTTTGTTGTTGAAGAATCTCAGGAAGGCCAGTGGGGATCTGCATGAACCATCATTACTCTTTTATAAGATCAAGAGACCTGTGCAGTATCTTATGCAGAACTGTTGCTTCAGTAAGGTTCTGGATCAAGTTACAAAACTCAACATCCTAGCTTTCCTCCTCCACCTCATTCTGGCTCAATATTGTCTCTCCAGAGGCCTCTTGGGAGAAATCATCATCTTTTAAGTTCGAACAAAAGAGGATAAAATAAAAAGGGAATCTCAGTTATGGGTAATGGTAAGGCTAGAAATGAACGTGGGAATGGTATTTTTTAAAGCTGTCAGCATCAGAAGATGCATCTCAGGGGTGGTCATAGTCAGGCATCGGGACACGTGTAAAAGCCCTGTGGTTTGCCAATGACTCATGCAGAGTACTAGGAAGGGATGGGGGGACAGAACCATGGTTCTTTACTTCAAGGAGAGAAACTCTGTAGGAAGATTATGATGGAGCTACTGATACTTCCTCCCAGAGGTAAAAATACAAAAAGGTGATGCTTTAAGCCTATAACCCTATCTGTTATTTTTATCTTTATTTTTAATTGTATGTTAATTATATCTGACTGGGACTCATATTCTTCAACCACACTTCACATAATCTGTAGCTTTAAATTATACCTGTGTGCAACTTGGAGTTCTGGCAAAAAAAGATAAAGATAGTAATAATAATAATAAAAAAAAACGGGACTTGATTGTGATATCCTCATTTGCTGCCATACCCATTTGCATTTTAGTCATGAAGAGTTACACTGGCTCCTTCAGCACCAGTAATGGTGTTACAAGCCAGCCCAGGAAGATTATAGGTACAAGTTGTACACACTGAGACAAAAATTAAACTTCAACTAAATTTTCCAAATCGTCAGAAATAGAAATGGATATTAACGTTTCAATAGATCGGCTGCCCGGGTGCTCAGATTCTCCAGTGACAGGAAGCTAGAAACATCTGATCAATTGCACCGAAATCAGCATCCTAAGTGATCCCAAAGCAATTCTACCAGCCAGAGTGCCTGGCTGACTCAGACAGACACCTCCTGTACTGCCGCGGCTATCTGCTTCACACCGCATCAAGGTACGCGAATCACACTGCGTTGTCTTTTCACATTATTTCAGGTGTCTGTCTGTC